AAATGAATAGACAGGGTCACCGGTTAGACCGGGTCACCGGTTAGACCCCCTTTAAAATAGGAATCTGTAGGATTTCCTTCCACTAGTCAGAGTGGCAAAGAATTGGTGTGTATACCGGTAGTTAAATGTTTAGAAAAAGGCCGCATCCAAGAGTCTCGCTATAAGATGTTGGCGTTTTCATCAGAAAATCCAGATTGGAAGCTGAGGAGCCAGGGTAAGGAATTCATTTAAAGACACAGTTCTCTGAAGTCAAGTTCAGAAAAGTTCAAATAAACTGGGGCCTGCTGTACTGGAAGAAGTCATGTGGTGTCTGGAAAACAGACCTGCTGCCTATGCTAGGAAGTGTAGGATTTCTCTGTCCTCTTAGCTACCAGCAGGGAGGTGATGTAACTAAGGGAGACATTTCCTAGTTGTACATTGGGTTTGTGACTAATCATGATCCTGACCAATTGGGAGTCTCCTTTTACTGGTCAAACTAGCTTGACTTATCTGCTTCCAGGACTCCTTTTAGCTCCACCCCAGTGCGCTCCCTTTGCAGGCTCACTCTCACGCTTTCTAATTTGCGTTGCCTCAGCTTCCAGTAGATGCAAAAACTGGGGAATTGGTAAATAATGAAGACAGGTCATTGATTCAGAGCAATCTGGATTGTTTGGTAAAATGGGTGCAACCAATATGCATTTGAAAATAGATATAAACATATACATCTGGGAACAAATGGGACTCTATCCTGGGAAGCAGTGACTCTGAAAAAGATTGGTGGGGCGTAGTGGATCATCAGCTGAACATGAGTGCCCACTGTGACCAAAAGTGATCCTGGGATGTATAAACAGGGAAATAAATAGAAGTAGAGGGGTTATTTTACCTCTAGTTGGCACTGGTGCAACTGCTGCTGGAATCCTGTGCCCAGTTCTGCCATCCACAGTTCAAAAAGCATGTTGATAAATTGGAGAGCCCTGCAAACGAGTAATGGATTAGAAGTGATTGAGTTCTGAGTCAGTCTGTTTAGTTTAGCAAAAAGGTGGTTAAGGGATGACTTGATTATAATCTACATGGGGAACAACTATTTAGTAATGGGCTCTTCAATCTCGTAGAGAAAGGTACAACTTCTAGCCATTGTCAGACATTCAGACTGGAAATAAGGTGTACGTTCTTAACAGTGAGGGTATTTAGCCATTGGAACAGTTTACCCAGGGTTGTGGTGGATTCTCCATTACTGGCACTTTTTAAATCAAGGGTGGATGTTTTTCTAAAAGATAGTGTAGGAATTATGGGGAAGTTCTAGGTCCTGTGTTATATCATGGTCCTTTCTGGCCTTGAAATCTATGAAGGAGAGGCCTTCAGTAGCTTAGCATTTCTTGTACTGCGCTGCTCCAGTATCTTCCCTGCCCCATGCACAAGAGATGTTCCATTGAAGTGCTGAAATAGTATTAGCTGTCACTAATCTTATTCTCCATATTCCTAAACCCATTTACCCAGATAATTGCTGTGCAGGAACAGAAGATTTTTTTTAATACAATCTCTTGAGTTGAAGCCTTTTTGTTCAGTGAGCGTTACCCTACTTTCTTACTAGTGATGAACTACTGCCAGCCTTACCTGGAGCTGGGGCCACTGTAGTGTTGCTCTAATTGTGTTTTGCTTTCCAGATGTGAAATCTGTGGTTTCCAATGCAGGCAGCGAGCGTCTCTCAAATATCACATGACCAAACACAAAGCTGAGACCGAGCTGGAGTTTGCCTGTGACCAGTGTGGAAAGCGTTTCGAAAAGGCCCATAACCTTAATGTCCACATGTCCATGGTGCACCCTCTGACCCAGACTCAGGACAAAACCAAGCCACTGGAGCCTGAGCAGATTCTCATGTTGAATCCTTCAGGGACTGTGGAAAGCCAGGCTGTAAAACCGGAACAGACTGCACAACAGGAGCCCACTTGAAGGTCTGCTGGAGGGGTGTATTGATAAACCATTCAGCAGTGAGGATTTTTAATATACATTTTAATAGATTCTCAACAAAAAAACCCCTCAGTGCAAATAGCTTCAGCTTGCTCAAAGAAAAAAAAAAAAAAAAAAAAAAAAGCTTTTTACTGTGCTGTGATTCTCCATGCTTAAATCAAATTCAGCGGTGTTGTACTGAACAGTCTCCATCGAATGTAAAGGAACTGGATGTTCTACACTCCCCCC